AGCACATTTTCAAACAAAAAGCAAGTGATCTAGTAAGCAACTAAGAGCCCGTAGATAACTACGAATGAAAAGGGTGCTAATACCTTCCCTTTTCATAATCTACCCCCGAACTCAGAAAACCTCTCGAAAGGTCTTTCCTATTCTTTTCAGCCTTTCCTTATTAGATAAAAGAAAAGTCGGTGGCGACTCTTGCTATCCGAAACAATTGCGATCAAACGCAAAACACCCAAGTCAATTCTCCCATCGTGTTACATCGAGGAAGGTGATTCATGACTTCAGGGCTAAGCTACTTCAAGTTGAAGGAAAGGTTGGTACATTATTAGAGGATTGGTAATGCAGTTATAAAGCTAAGGCGGCAAAGGCAAGTTGCAGATGAGCTAGCATTTCTTAATAGAGAAGAAAGTATGTGTGCTAAGCGCAGATAGGTAACACACTTAGCGAGCATACCAGATCATACCCTATAAATAGGAATTCCATTAACTTTAAATGGAGCTTGCCGGTGTATTTAAGGTATTTCTCATAGAAAGTTATGTTAACACCACAAATCACAAATGTTGTTCAACTTCTTTTTTCTAGGGATTGATTTTAAAGCTACAATGAGTAAGCATATCTAATTTGTCTTTTGTTGGGGTTAGATATAGTCATCATTATACTCATGCATTGATTAAGATCATGGTGTTTTATGCAATTCTACTTAAGTTTTAATATTGATGGACTCTTCGTTCTTGATGCTTGTTTTAGATTAGCTACTGAAGTCATGTTTCCATGGTCTTGATATGTGAAATGTACTAGTCATTACTAGATCCAAACTTTCATTTATTGAATGCTAAACTCTAGACATATATGTAGGCTTACCTTGAAGGTTCTATACTTGGCCAGGGGTACTTTCATCACCAAATTTCCTTCTCTGTCATGAATCTCCGGGAAATCTTTGTCGGATTTTGCTGAAAAACCTTTCTCCAAAAGCTAACCTAGGCTTATCAAGTTGGCAGTCATACCAGGAGCATACAACACATTTGTGATTACAACTTGCCTTCCATATTATCTTTTGACAATGACATTACTGATTCCTTTAATGGCCCTGTTATCTGCACATTTCACCATGCTTTTCTTCTTTGAGTCAAAATTGACAAGCCAATTTAGATTCCCAGTCATATGGTTGGAACACCCTGAGTCTCTATACCACGCTTCATTATTCTGCAGATATGGATTGACGATCATCATAAATATTATAGCTTGTTCTTCAGAACCTCTTTCATCTCCTTCTTTGGTTGTATGAGCTTGATGTTCCTACTGACTTGAAGAAGCTGTGCATTCTGATGAAAAATGTATGATGCGATTGCAGTTGAAACATTTAAGTATTTTTTTACCGATTCTCTTCTTTCCTCCTTGCCAATTTGTTGATCCCCATCTTTAATTTGAACTTCCTGAGTAATCTTGCTCAGTCTTTTCTTATTCTTGGTTCTGAGAATTTCTCCCAGGCGTGCTTCTGAAATCTCTTCCACGACCCTTGCCTCTCAATCATGATTTAGAATTGAATCCATCCCTTCTTGGTACATATGCTTGCAAGGCTTGATTATCACTAGATTTCTCTGTACTTATCTCAGTGATTCTTTGCTCGTGTGCTTTTAGAGAACCTTATAGTTCTTCGACCTTCATTTCTTCAATCTTGTTAGATTCTTCTATGGCTACCACGATGTGATCAAATTTGGGGGTTAGGGTTCGTAGAACCTTTTCAACAATCACTTTATCAGAAGTTGTCTCACCATAATTTTTCATAGCATTTACGTGAGTGATAATTTGATTGAAGAAATCATCTATCTTCTCATTCTCTTCCACTTGCATCAGTTCATATTGATGCCTCATCGTCTGTAATCACACTTTCTTCAATTTGTCTACACCATTGTTGCACTTTTCCAAGATCTTCATGCTTCCCGCGAAATTGTAGCTCTTGCAATCTTCTCAAAGTGTGCTTCATCAACACACTGATGAATCAAGAATGTTGCTCTACAATCCTTCTTCTTGTTCTCTTTCTGAAGCGCCTTTTGTGCATCTGTGGGATTTGCGGGAAGTGCTTGGTAACCATCTTCTACAATTTTTGTGACTTCTTGATAACCCATTATCGCTTTCATCCGCACCCTCTATCGATCCCAATTCTTTCCATTGAGAATAGGGAGATTCATTGTGAAGATTGCACCGGCTTACACCATTGTGTATGTATCGCAAGGATTCTAATCGAACCGAGCTATAGATAGTAGTTGTTAGATTTTATATCCAGTAGTGATGCTTAGGAAGAAGATAAATAGAAAGAGAGGAGTTTCTATATCTAAATCAAGTTTTTACATTATGTAAGAGTAAACTAGCTTATATAAGCATGTACATTACAAGACAGGTGGAATCATACCATTGGAGAGCTAGTTACAACTATATACAGCTTGAATTATTTCTAACGGCCAGTTACATGGAAAGAGGTCCTAGAGTCAAGGTACTAGGTACTTGTAGATGCATATGTGTTATTTATCAATAAGGTACTAACAAAATTTCCAAATGTAGAGGTAGAACGAACATGACGTTGTGACCTTAGCCAAGTGCTAAGATGCTAAAAATGTATGTCAGAAGCTCCATAAAGTGCATAACCATAACCATATCAAGATCATGTGCAAGAAGAATGGCATCAGCTTCATATCAAGATCCACTACATCAAATTTCCTTTAGATAACTGAAACCATAAGAGCAAATTCAGAAGGCAAACCTTCTAAGATGAATTTATATGATGATTGTGAGGAACAAGAGTTTTTGAATGGTAGAGTTAACAAGCGTAACACGAAGATGTATTTCCTTAACACGAGTTTGTTTAAGAAAGTAAACAAAGAAACAATCTCAAAGTTCATGAGCTTGTGTGCAGCCTAGAACACGAGTGAGAATTTCACTCGAAAGTGTCAATTAAAGGTATGACAGAAGCATTTGTTCACGCTTGCGCCAAGATATGTGCTCATGATTGATTTTCACAACAAATCAATCCTCATCATGATCGGTAAGGAACTCAACAATAATTTGAGAAGAGTTAAACTACAAATTGTGTAACATATTATCGGTTTTACATAGGGTTCAACTTGTGTTATTCTGATATGAGTAGGCATGGCAAATAAACTCGACTCCACCGGGTCCCAGCTGCCCCGCCCTGAAATTAGCGGGGAAAATCTGGTTTAATCGGGGGTGGGTGCGAGTGATGCTAGTACCCACCCTACACCCGCTCCGCACCCGCCAACTAAACTTAATTTATTTCATTTATTTTTTAATAGTTTTATTATTCATTTACACTTTTTAATGCTATAATATCATGTTTATTAAAATTATTATTTATTTTTTTTGAAAATACAATTTAAATAAAAATATCAAACATAAAAATGCTTTTAAAATAATTAACTATTTAGTTTAATTATTGATTTTTATTTTTATTGAAAAAAATATAAATTTTTAAAAATTAATATTTTATTCGGGCGGGTGCGGAGAAATCCGTTTCTTATTAAGAGAGGGGGTAGGAGAACAAATATCAACCCCGACCGAATTTGAGAGCGGGACGGATCTGAGTCTAGGTGACGGATGCGGATCTGGGTGTGCTTAAACCCACCTCCGACCTGCTCCGTTGCCATTCCTAGATATGAGCTAACTGGGTTAGTCATACCTATACAATTGACATAACTTACTTTTAATAGTTTAGTTATGCAAGCTTAGAATTGTTGAAATGACCCATTTCTATGATAACTAACTTAAGAGATACTTACCTAAATCTTAAAGAATATACTCAAATAGTTTTAATAAGAGTATGGAAATCTTATGTTAAAATAAATACTCATCCAAATTATACATCCAGTAATATGAAGAAAAAAAATATGAAAAGTTATTATAAATATATAAATTTAATTTGAGTGTAGAGAAAATTTTTAATTTTTCCATCTAAAAATTGTTGTTGAGAGGATTTTTAAATTTTATTCAAAAATTATAATTAAGAGTATTTGTAATTTTTCTATCGAAAATTATAGTTGAGAAAGTTTGCAAATTTACCATCTAAAATTTATAGTCGTGAAAATTTACAATTTTCTCTATATAAAATATTTGATTGCAAATTAATTTTATTTGTATTCAATTTTTTTAGAGATTTACTTTGCTTACATTTTCAATATATAATTTTCTTAATTTTACTTTTAATGTTTTTATAGTATAAAATAATCTATTTAAATTTTTGTTCAACTACTCTATAAACTCATGAGTTAACTAGAAATATCAACATTTTTTTTTAGCTCGACCGAAATTTTATACTAGAAAAAACACTAAAAACATCCTATAAAAAAATACTACAAATTAGTGAAAAACATCCTATGTTCTGTAGAAGAAATACTATCATGTAATAACTATTTTAATCATTCTTTACATACAAATTACAAATTCTTTACTTTCAACTAGCGATTTGATCTTAACTAAACAAGGCCAAAGAAAACAACTTAAGGAAAAAAACAAATATCAACTTTGTGGATTGACATGTAACACCTCTAACAAACAAAATGATGAAATCTTTAGATTCTTTGTCTCATGATTATCCACATATAGTGACACTCCTAGACAAACAAAAGAAAAGAATCTTAAATATTATAATTCCTTGTTAGAAATGATATCCATAGTACACACCTTCCTTTTACTTTTTCAAAATAAACATATGTATATTCTTTTCCTTTCCTTCCTTCATCAACTATTCCTTCTCCCACTCTTTCACCTATCCAAACAATAAATCATTTCTCATGTAACATAAACATAAAAAGCTACCTACACATATAAATTGTGACACATTTCATATGACATATAAATAGAACCATTATAAACTCACACGCAACTCTGAAAGCTAGAGTTTGAGTTCAAACCCCGGTGTTGGCGTACAACCTAACAATATTAACATTTGGTCAGTTGAGCTAGGAGTTGCGGCAACAAGAGCATTATTTCATTCAATGGCTCCACCACCTGCTTTGAAGCGCACAAATTCTCTAGCAGATAACATGCCCGATGCATTGAAACATAGTAGGTACCATATGAAGAAGTGCTTTGCTAAGTACCTAGAGAAAGGGAGAAGGATCATGAAACTTCACCATTTGATGGAAGAAGTTGAACGAATTATAGATGATAAAATTGAAAGAAATCAAGTTTTGGAAGGCATTCTAGGCTTCATATTGAGCTCTATACAGGTTCTTTGTTAATCACACCATAACATGCAAAAATATATTTATGCTTACAAGGTGGTTGATGTTATGCACATGAACTTGCAGGAAGCTGTTGTTGATCCACCATATGTTGCATTTTCTATTAGGCCTAATCCAGGAGTTTGGGAATATGTACGTGTCAACTCCGAGGATCTTTCGGTTGATGCTATTACCCCTACTGATTACCTCAAATCCAAGGAAAGGGTATATGACCAAAAATGGTGTGTCTTTTCTCTTCATTTTTCTTATACATTTAATTTAAATTCTTAAAAATATTTCATTGTTTGAACTTGAATGTCTGATGTAAGACTAAATGTACATGTTTAATTTCGCGTTTGATCATTAACACTTTCTATATTTGTAGGGCAAATGATGAAAATGCATTTGAAGCAGACTTTGGAGCATTTGATTTTGGGATTCCGAAATTAACTCTATCTTCTTCAATCGGAAATGGACTTCACTTTGTTTCAAAGTTCTTAGCTTCAAAGACAACCGGGAAATTGACAAAAACACAGGCTATAGTGGACTACTTGTTGAGATTAAATCATCACGGAGAAGTAAGTGAAGAAGCATTAGATTGACTTAATAAACTTTATACTAACACAAAAGTAATATAAACTTTTCAATATTAAAATTTTCATTTTTGTAATCTACATTGACAGAGTCTAATGATAAATGACACCTTGAGCTCAGCTGCAAAACTTCAGCAAGCATTAATTGTGGCTAATGTTTTCGTTTCAGCAATTCCCAAGGACACTTCATATCACAATTTTGAGCTAAGGTAAGGACTATTAATTTATCATTTAAGAGGTCAATGATGTTTTAGCTAAGTAAATTTAGAATTTTGGCTGCATCACAGTCCTTGATATTACAAAGAATTTTAGTTAAATTTACATGATGCGGTCTCAATTGTGACATAAATAAACTTTGATGTTGCAACCTAAGTCACGGTCGCAAACCTTATTTTAGAACCCTACATGTTATTTGTAATCCAATGTCAATTTTATTTTTAGGTTAAAGGAGTGGGGTTTTGAGAAAGGATGGGGAGATACCGCAGGTAGGGTGAAGGAGACAATGAGAACTTTATCAGAAATACTCCAAGCACCTGACCCAATTAATCTAGAGAAATTTTTCAGCAGAATTCCTACAATGTTTAAAGTAGTGATCTTCTCAATTCATGGTTATTTTGGGCAAGAAGATGTTCTTGGCTTGCCAGACACTGGTGGCCAGGTAAAATTTCTATCATTCGGAACAATATTTTTGTTTTTTAAAGTTAAGGTTTATAAAGATTATTCTCTTTATGGCATTGAGAATTCTGAATGAAGCTTTTTTAATATCAACTCAAGTAGTAGTTTTTTAAATTGGGGTCGCTGTCACAATCCCTGTTGCATCACGATCCTTTACATTAAGGTGAATGAAGTCAAATACAGTCGCCAAGACATCAGAAACCATGATGCCGCGGCCCAAATTATATACGCAAACTCTTTTTAGACCTTGTCACTATTTGAATTTGAAAGGAAAAAAAACTAAAAGTATTCATTTGCTAAAACAAATGTGTTAATTTCCAACACTTACTGCCATAACAGGTAGTTTACATATTGGATCAAGTCAAGGCTTTGGAGGAAGAGTTACTTCTAAAAATTAAGCAACAAGGGCTAAATTTTGAACCTCAAATTCTTGTGGTTAGTTTCATGCAAAGCAATGACCTCTTTCTATATGCAAAGCAATAACAGGTAGTTTCAAATTATGTGATTATTGACTCTTACCCTTGTCAGGTAACAAGGTTGATACCGGATGCTAGAGGAACCAAGTGCCACCAGGAGTTTGAACCAATCCATGGTACCAAACACTCCCACATTCTACGTGTGCCTTTTTATACAGAAAAAGGAATTTTACGTCAATGGGTTTCTCGCTTCGACGTTTATCCCTATCTTGAGAGGTTTACTCAGGCATGTATACATGCTTCATGGTTTTTTATCTTGTACTTTGGTTTTCAATTGCAGTTACAATGCAAACTTTTATAACGTAGTGAAATAACCATGCCCTGTACTTATGAACTAGCCTTCTTACCGATTCTTTGGTTTACATTATTAATAGGATGCAACAACCAAGATTTTGGACCTAATGGAAGGGAAACCTGATCTTGTTATAGGAAATTACACAGATGGAAATTTAGCAGCATCTCTAATGGCTAGAAAACTTGGGATAACTCAGGCAACTATAGCACATGCTTTGGAGAAAACCAAGTATGAAGACTCAGATGTCAAGTGGAAAGAGTTAGATCCTAAATATCACTTCTCATGTCAATTCATGGCTGATACAATTGCAATGAATTCATCCGATTTCATCATAACCAGTACATACCAAGAAATCGCGGGAAGGTTTGTCAAAACAACCTATCATAGTATTTGTTTAAAAGAAAATAATTTTTTTTGAAAAGTACACATAAAAATGAAAACTGAGTTCTGAAAGTTAATTTTTTTTCCGCAGCAAAGATAGACCTGGACAGTATGAAAGCCATGCTGCATTTACTCTTCCAGGGCTTTGTAGGGTTGTCTCAGGGATAAATGTGTTTGATCCTAAGTTCAATATAGCTGCACCAGGTGCTGATCAAAGTATCTATTTCACTTACACAGAAAAAGACAAAAGGCTTTCTCAATTTCACCCTGCCATTGAAGATCTTCTCTCTAATAGAGTGGATAACAATGAACATATGTAAGTGACTTTGTTTCTTCTCTTGCATAGTAAACTTTCAATGCCGAACTATTGTTAGAATAGCAACCTCGGTTCAAAAGAAAACATATACAAAAAAACAAACAGAGAACACACATAATTTTGTCACGGATTCAACAAAGATTGTCTACGTCTTCAACTACAAAGACGTTGCAGTGCCTTTCCATTATTCAAGCTTAAGATTATATATTACAAATTGTGTTACAATATTCACTGGCTCGAGTGGCCTGTCCACTTATCAGTAAACTACAAGTCATACTCATTAGCTATACTAGCTACATTATTCTCAATCATTGATTTTAACTTTTGAAATTATCATGAAAACAGTGGATATCTAGCGGAGAGGAGGAAACCTATAATCTTCTCAATGGCAAGGCTTGATGTAGTGAAGAACTTAAGCGGATTAGTCGAGTGGTATGGAAAGAACAGGAGATTAAGAAACTTGGTGAACCTTGTCATAGTTGGTGGCTTCTTTGACCCTTCAAAATCAAAAGATAGAGAGGAAATGGCAGAAATAAAGAAGATGCATGATTTAATTCGAAAGTATCAATTAAACGGCCAATTCAGATGGATTGCTGCGCAGACTGATCGATTTCGCAACGGAGAGCTGTATCGCTGCATTGCTGATACAAAGGGAGCTTTTGTGCAGCCTGCTTTGTATGAAGCATTTGGATTAACTGTCATTGAAGCAATGAACTGCGGCTTGCCAACTTTTGCTACTAATCAAGGAGGTCCGGCAGAAATAATTGTTGATGGAGTCTCAGGATTCCACATTGATCCCCTAAACGGAGATGGATCAAGCAACAAAATTGCTGATTTCTTTGAAAAATGCAAAGTAGATCCATCCTATTGGAACATGATTTCTGAGTTCGGATTGCAGCGCATAAATGAATGGTACTACCTCCATTTTCTTTGCTTCAAACTAATGCAGCTATTCTTTATGTTAAATTGCACCTTTATTGCATAAATAACTCTATACCCTTTTAAGAACAGCAAGAAATTTAATTTCAAACATGTTCCTGTTTTTTTCTTGTAGCTATACATGGAAGATATATGCAAACAAGTTGGTAAATATGGGAAACATTTACACCTTTTGGAGGCATGTGAACAAGGAGCAAAAAGAGGCAAAGCAAAGATACATCCATATGTTCTATAATTCCTTATTCAAGAATTTGGTTAGTCAATGTTTGGTTTATATACGCATGAACCACCAACTAACTATAGCATGGTGAGTTTTGGAAAAAGGTTATAACACTTGCAATATGTTAATGTTGCAGGTTAAGAATGTACCTATTCCAAGTGATGAACCTCAAAAACCAATAGACAACCAACAAAGTCTCAAACAACAGGGCTCTAGGTATGTCACTCAAGCATTTTATTCTAGAAAATTGTTTATCTTTTGATGTTCCTGCTAACAAATTTCTTTTGTTTTCTTTTTCTTCTTGGTTTGCAGCACCAGACGTTCACAGTCCACATTGAGAAGGTAAAATTTACCATAGAATCTTGGATTAGCTTATGATTTTAAGTTGTGTAGCAACTTTCTAAATTTTTTTTGCTTACTTTTAGGTTTTTACCTGGAGCTTAATGATGCCAACCACAAAAGCAGATCAATTGAGAGAATGCATCTGCTCATACTTAATATTAATATTTCTCTGATATGAATATACCTTCTCATATATTTGTACATAATTTTTTTTTTATTTAAGCAAAAACACTCTGCAATGTTACAAAATAGCAAGTGTTTTATGAAATCAATGAAATGATTATATATCCATGATTTCATTAATTTATATCATAATACCAAAAAAGTTATTTTCATTTTAACTTTATTAACACAGGTATAAGTGATTTAAGTTGAAGTAAGGTAAATTTAAAGATGGAAAGGATAGCTGAATTAAAATTAAACTTGTGTCAAATGAAAGACATATATCATTAAAATTAAAATTTCATATAAGTAGCACTAAAATAAAGACTTATGATAAAGATATATATCATTAAAATTAAAATTGCATAAAATGACACACATAATTAGCAACAAAACAACTAGACAGTAAGAACATATTATCATACATTTTCATCAAATTATACAAAAACAAACTATATCAATGATTTAACGAATACAAAACTAACAGCATCAATACATTTTCATCAAACTGTACAAAAATTACCATATCAAAGATTTAACAAATACAGAACTAAAAACATCAACAGAACACTAAAACATCATCACAAAACAAACAAACCATTCATATTGATCTTTTAATTTGACCATCTTGTTCTTAGTCATTTTCATCTATTCCATTCAAATGACTAAAAACAGGTTTGTTGGAAATCCATCAAAACCTATGATAAATTTCAATCAAACATGATGAACAAGATTGCTATCATTACACAATGACAATGAAAAGAAAGAAAATTGAGGAAGAAAGAAAATTAGGGTTTACGGAAATAAGGGAAAGATTATTTTCTACCGAGTAACTCTCTGCCTATAAACTGTAGAAAATCTTTATTCACTTGCAACTACAAATTATGTGAATACAAGTTGTTATGTGTTTGTTATATTCAAAAGTAGAGGTTACTCCATCTATTTATAATGAGTTTGCTTTCTCGCTAAGTCAAAAAACTCAAAATTATAAAAGACCAAAATACTTATTTTAGACCTAAATCGAAATTTGTGTGTAGCAACCTGTTTAAAATACTTCAACAGCTAACAACTCGACATACTAAGCTTTTCGACACACCTTGTGTCGAGCAACAACTTGCTTCTACACAAGGAATTACACTTTCAACACACCACCTAATTCATTTTGTCTAAGCTATATATATTCATCATAGCTCTTAGTCTTCTGAACACTTCGACCTGCACACCCTTCGTCATGATGTCTGTAATCTGATTCTCAGTTTTGCAGTGTTCCAAGTTCATCTTTGCATCTGCTACCTGCTCTTGAAGATAGTGGAATGATAGGGCCAAAACACATTGTATATTTTACTCGATTTGTGCATGTTTTATTGTTGTTTTATTTCTTTTTCCACTATTATGATGGTATTTTGATTATGTTTCAGATAAATGACCATTTAAGAGTCGTACGCGAAGAAATGAAGAAAAATGGACGAAAAACAGAAGAATTAGGGCAAAATGCACTCAAGGCGACCACCATGGCGTTCACCATAGGGGTGATCATGAGTGGTCCACGTCTCAACGGTCAAAAGACCAAGTCTCAACCGCCTTACAAGCACGGAGAACGCCATGGAAGGTGTGGCGACTGGCACACATTACGAAGACTAGGCAGTTAGAATGTGGACTTTCTTGATCAATGAACCACCCCACTTCCTCCTACTTTCTCTCCACGCTTTAGAAAACCTCCTTTGGAATTTTAGGATTTTTAAAACTCTATAAATACATCCTTTCATCCAACTTTGAGATCATCCAAGCTTAGTTACAAACATAAGCCACATACTGTCGAAATTGTAAGTGATTAACTCTCCACATCGGAGGGTTATCGAATCATTGATCGAGTCTGTAATAGAGTTTGGAGAAACCTTTATTTGAAGTATTAATCTTACCGTCATTTACTTTCCGCATTCAAGTTCAGCAAAAATTTACTTCTTGTAGCAGATTAAAGTCTCTTTGGAGCAGGTTTATTTATCGCATTTCATTTATTTTATCGTCTCTTTATTTTACCGCACTCTTATTTTATTGAAAGCTCTTTTTCTACCATTCTTTTAATTGCACGTAAAGTTTCATTTAATTTATCTGTTATGTCTTATTTCATGATCAAAGCAATCAGTTTATCGTATTCAAAAACCATGTCTAACTAAATTTATAAGTGTTGGAATGTGAGGACCGTCGATTCAACGGTACTCTAAACTGTTGTTCTTTGAGAAATACTTAGGGATCTGTTTTGGTTTTAATCACAACTTCTATAAACTTAAATCTGACGGTTGTTATGAAAGTAGGATCATTTATAAATCAGAAAAGATCGAAAGTCGTCTGGTACAAAAAGATTAAGGTTGTCTAGTTTTTAATTGATAAAAACCGTGAAAGTTATTTGTTAATTAATTAGGAAGGGTAAGAAATTTAATAAAGTACTTTTAAATCTATTTTCGGACGAGTTTGTATGTTTAGAGTACGGTTGACCGAGCGAACATTGGGAACCTTTTAAAATATTATTTTTCAATCAAAACTATTTTTTTCGTCTAAGAAAATATTCTAATTTCTTAAAATAGGGTTTACTACTTTAACGCTAGTAGTGCCGACCACCGTGACAGTGGTTGGTATAAATTAGAGAGTAAAATCTGGTTCTGAATATGCGAAAGCGACAATTCCTGTTCAATTATATCTTTTAAAAGTAGAAAAATATTGTTCCAGAGTAATTCCATTTATGAACAACAACAATATTAACGAATTGATGAGATCTATATTCCAACATTGATTTTTCTGATATTAACTTAAGCACTTTATTTACTTTACTTGCACAACTCCAATCCTTAATTCATTAGCCTTAAATAAACACCATAACAATAAAATTTGATAGATTGACTATTAGGTCTCTGTGGGTTCGACACTCTTTGTATTACTCTGATAGTTTCATACACTTGCGAAATATCACATCAAGTTTTTGACGCCGTTGTCGGGGACCAATTACGTCAAATACCGTAACTCCGTCGTTACACCATCTATACTAAGGCACACTTTTCGATAAATGTGAAGACCTCACAGTACCAGAACTTTAGAAGATCCAATAATTGAACCAGAAAGATATGCACAAGCGATACTTTTGCTCCGACGAATCCGTAGATCCATGGCAGAAGAGCAAACCTCAAACCACTTAAGGATTTCTCCTTACCCTCTAACGAAGAACCTCATTTGAGTATTCTTAACCTTGCGATTTTGGCTCACAATTTTGAATTGAAACCTGCTTTATTGCAAATCGTGCAACAAAACCAATTCGTCGGTCTTCCAACTGAGAACCCTAACCAACACTTGAAAGTGTTTATCCAACTAGCTGACACATTGAAAAGCAATGGTGCTCCTCCTAAGACTATAAGTTTATGCTTATTCCCTTTTTTCCTCAGAGATAGAGCAAGCACATGGCTATACTCTCTCCCACCAAATTCTATCACCACTTGGAATGACCTAAAGAAAGTTTTCCTTGCTAGATGCTTTCCACCAGGTAAGACCGCTATCTTGCGAAACCAAATAACGCGATTTACTCAAAAAGATGGTGAATCTATTTTCGACGCTTAGGAAAGATAGAAAGAGTTGTTAATAGCCTATCCGCACCATGGATTAGAACAATGACTGATTATCCATACCTTATATAATGGACATCTCTACAACACAAAATTTATGAAAGACATCTTGGCAAATAAACATAAGCTCAATGACCCTAAACCATTAGAATGTCATGCGATTGTTGAGAACAAATTAGCCAATAATTAGAAAGACCCTGGAAGTTTTTTCATACCATGTGTAGTAGGAAGACATATCATCGACAATGTATTATTGGATTTAGGTGCAAGCGTGAGTTTAATTCCACTAGCAGTTTGGAATAGATTAAACCTAGGATATGTTCAACCAACAAGGATGTCCCTCCAACTGGATGATCGATCAGTTAAGTATCCAATCGGTATATTAGAAGATATTACAGTTAGGATTAGTCAACTTTATATTCCTACGGATTTTGTCATTGTGGACATTAAAGAAGACGATGATATCCTCATCCTTATGGGTAGACCCTTTTTGTCAACTCCTGGAGCTATGATAGATGTCAAGAGAGGGAAAATGAATTTCGAAGTGGGAGACGAGAAGGTTGAGTCTATCTTATCCAAATTCCTAAAAGTGCCATCCATGAATGACTCGTTTTGTGTTGTGGATATTATTGATGAATGTATAAGATAATTGGATAAGGAAACAATAAAACTTTCTTCGTCACCCATAATGGAAGATTATGGAATTAAGGGTTATACACCTTATATAGACGACAACATTCACGAGTTCCTAGCACTTACTCCTGACCATATGCCAGGCCCTAAGAAATCATCCATGGAGCTTAAAGAATTACCAAAAACCCAGAGGTATGAGTTCTTGATAGATTTAAATCGTCCGGTTATAGTTAATACAAATTTAAACAAAGACGAAACTAATCAACTCTTAGATGTTTTACGAAAATATCCTGCAACTATAGGCTATAATATATATAACCTAAAAGGGATAAACACATATATATGCATGCACCGAATAATGCTAGATGAAGACTCTAAACCATCTAGGGAACAACAAAGTAGGATAAATCCCTCATGAGCGATGTAGTCAAAAAAGAAGTATTAAAACTACTCAAAGATGGAATAATTTATCAAATATCAGATAGTAAATGGGTTAGTCCTATGCATGTAGTACTAAAGAAAGGTGGCGTAACAGTGGTATAAAACGAAAAGGGAGAATCGATAGCTCAACATATACAAATCGGATGACACATGTGTATTAACTATAGAAAGCTAAACAAAGTAACCAGGAATGACCCCTTTCCCCTCTCATTCATTGATCAAATGTTAGAACGTTTAGCCATACACTCATACTTCTGC